TATATATATATGTGTGTGTGTGTATATATATATATATATATATATATACTATATATATATATATATATATATATATATATCTGTATGCATGTATGTATGTATGCATACATACATATGTCTGTATATAAGCAAGTATGCATATATATATATATTTATGCGTGTCTGTGTCTGTATTTATTCAAGTATGTATGTGTGCAAGTGTATACTTATAAATATATGTAAGTTTTTTGTACGTACGTATTTATGTAAGAATTTCTGTATGCATTTATGTATTTATCTATATATCTATATATTTATGTGCATGTAGATGTATATATATATATATATATATATATATGGGTGTGTCACGTTTGTGCGCGTGTGTGTACGTGCGTGTGTGCGTGTGTGTGCGTGTGAAGTTGTGTGTTTGTATGTATGTATCCTTGTTTAGATTCTATTGCTCAGTACCTCCTGTTCGGGTTGTACACATCTGATACATGAGCTCAGTGGCGAATGTGTTTAAGACATTTTCCTGTCGCGTATAATGGCAGGGTTTCATTGTGGAAGCCCCCGCATTCGTTTGATCTCAGTGTGCGTTTGTGATGCTCTATGTACCTCTTTTTTTTCGGCAGATCTTAGAATCTCAGAGTACGTGGTCTCATTTTTGGTGATGATTGCTTTCACTTCAATGGGCGATTTATTTCTGCGTTCTATATATGTAGTTTGGCTTTGCATTCGTAACTAAAATGATTACACTACCCTGCGAGCATCTTATAGCATCGGCAATAAGTACACAACCCTGTGTACTTATACAACCCTGCATACATGCACAACTATGTGTGCATATACAACGCTGCATACATACTACACAACCCTGTATACATATACAACCCTGCGTACATATACAACCCTGCGTACATACACAACCCTGTGTACATATACAACCCTGCGTACTTACACAACCCTGTGTACATATATATCCCTCCGTACATACACAACCCTGTTTACATATATAACCCTGCGTACATACACAGCCCTGTGTACTTATACAACCCTGCGTACATACACAACCGTACGTACATCGTGTAGCATCGATAATAAATATGCAACCCTTCGTACATTGTGCTGCATTGACAAGAAATACACAACCCTGCGTACATCGAGAAGAATCGATAATATATTCGCAATCCTGCGGACATCGTGTAGCATCTATAATATATACACAACCCTGCGAACGTCGTGTAGCATCCATGCACTTCGTGGTGTTTATCATGGCCTTCTAAATTAGACAGTTTATGTTGTAAATTTTCTGCAATTTTACAAACATAGAGGATCTAACAAAAATACATCTAAATACTTTAGGAAATACCATGTTTGGGAAGTGGAAGCTTGGTCGAGAACAATCTTTTACGCGGTCATAAAAACTAAATCCAATCAAAATATAGGTTCTTGTAAAAACAAAATGCTTTCGGAGTACATATTTTTACTAAGTAAGTTTTCTATGTAAATATATCATTTTTTTTTAAAGTTCAATGACTCTTTGCCGGTTGCCAGAGAGCGGCAGAGACTCGGAGTCTTGGGCCTTTTGATGTTTTTTTTTAGAACAAAACAAATGTAACAAAGTATGTACAATAATGGTGCTGGACAATTGTACATAGAATCCAGAGTCCAGAGCCCAAGCCCCACTGACCCAGGGCCGCAGGGCGGGGCGTCGGCCGTCTGAAACCCTGAATCGAGAATCGCAGTACTGTACCAGGGCACCGCGTGTGATAACTGATGTTGTGACTTGTGAGGCCTAGAAGCCCTATGGGCTGTTGCTGGACAGTGGACACTGGACAGAGTGCAGAGTGTATATGTATGTACTACATATTATTTACTCAGTATGTACTCACTCAGTTTCTCTGACTCTGTATAAATGAATGCTCTAAATAGAGTGTTCAAGTGTTGACTGTTGACTGTTGACACTTGACACTTGACTCGTGACTCTGAGCTCGTGACTCTGAGCTCGTGACTCTGAGCTCGGGTCGTTTTACTGTTTTTTTAAAGTCTGCATGAGACTGGACAGTGGACTCTGTCACCCTGGAAGCTGGACTCTGGCCTCTGGGTCTCTGGCTATTGAGATGGCACTCCGGCAGGTCAAAGTTAGTCTGTGAGTCTGCGCAGCAACTGTCAGACTGGAGTGTCAGACTGACAAGTGTCAGGTGTGAGTCTGTGAGGCTGTGAGTGTGAGGCGTGAGGCGTGAGCCTTGACTCTTTGTTGAGGTGCCATCGACCCACGTCCACCGAGTCTCACGACTCCCAGGAGTTGCATATTCTACTTTACAATAATTTTAAAACATGGGTGCTATGGCTCGCCGCCCGTTAGGCAAAAGGAATCTATAGTGCTTTCGTCTACAGAGCTTTATTTTTATATATATACCAGCACCTTTTGCATAAAAGTCGCATTTTTGAGGTCTTATTATATATTATTATTTAGAAAGGACCCAAACAATATGCGAATTCCTAGCTTGTTAGTTGCCGTTCTGGCCGTGGCAAGCAGTACACTGGTACAAGCACATCAGCATGAAGGCGAAGTTGAGGCTGACGCTGAAGCTGACATACTAGTACCGCTTAACCTTACAAATACCCTCTCTGACGAAAGTGACGAACTGGTCGAGTACAAGCTGACATTCTACACAGGAAATGGGCCGGAAGATGGCACTAAAGGACCTGTGCGGGTGATGATTCAGGGAGAGCAGGTGACCTTCGCCGAACACGATGACGACACTTTACCCCACCAGACTATCGAGGGTGAATTCTTACCAGGTACTTCAAAAACGGTTATCTTCAAATCTCTTCCATTGCCAGAGCATGCTGCCTGGATTGATATCTGGAATGATAACAAAGATGGTGACGACTGGTACTTATTGGCCGGTGTTAAACTAGAGTACAAAGGTATCTCGCGTGTATTTAGGTACGAAGGACCTGTGCACGCGTGGAAGGCTATGAAGCGAGCGAGCGCTGTTGGCGGCAATATTGTCCCTCATATCCTCACTATCACTACTGGTGATGCAATAGATGCTGAATTAGAAGGAGGAGATCTATATGGTAAGCTGTTGTCAGATGGGAGTTATGAGAGTTCTACACAGATGATATCTCATGGAGTACCCTTACAACGCAATCAGACCATTAAGACATACATGATGGCGCCGGAAGATGCGACCGATGCGCTCAATATCTGGTTTAACGGTAGTAATACGGATATGTGGCTTCTGCAAACTGTGACGGTTCAGCAAGAACCCACCACAGAAGTTCCTGAGCCACCCATCACTACTATCGATTTTAAGTGGTGGTTGCAAAATAAGATCCCCATACTCATGCATAGAGACTTCGATGATGATGCTCTTAGTCTGCAACCCAACGAAGAGGAGGGGGTCGAGGGCCGCCTGCGTCTGCCGGACCTCCAAATCGAATCAGACAATATGCTGCGCAATTTGGTATTGTCGGCGGGGCATATCTGGAACGATCACAGGTATCATATGGTGCTTTCATATGCAGTACGAGTTACAAGTTGAAAAGTATATATCGATGCTCGTTAGTTTTGCATTGTGGTTGTAGGTCAGTACAGTGTGATTTAATGGTGATTTTAGTTCTCTGAAAACGAAACGATGTCGTATATATAAATCCAGTCCAGACTTGTTTCTAGTTCTTCTCAAAATCACATCATTCATTATCTCCTGTATTGCAATATTTAGTGAAAATTAACAAGTTTTGACTATCTTGCGTAATGATTATGATACAGTAAGTAGCCAGTAGTCATCTTCTCATTGAATATAATCGTGCAAAACAGCAATCATGATGATTTAAACATTAAACAAATGGTTGCAAATATCGTAACGGTAGGGGTGCTGAGTAGTTTGCAAGGGTAGGAACCATACCTATCATGCCAAAAACTCAGCTTGATACGTTCAAAGGTGCCTAGCAGCATTATTATCAATACCACCGTACTCAACGCACATTGTTGCGTGCACGCACAGATGCGCCGCTGAGGAAGGTTGCTTTCTCCCCATGGGTTCGAAAGTAAATGGTGTGATCATGGGATCCTGGCGCCGCTTCCTGCGCTTCTCTGCCACATACTGGAATTATGGCGATGCTGATTTCTTCCCGAACCCTGATGACAATCCCGAATGTATGTATTTGCAGCTCGCACTGCTATTAATGTTCCATCATATAATAAGTACACTAGTTTTCAAAACTCAACAGATGATAGCGTAGAAAAACTTGGACCTACATCCGTTGACCGTATCGCTTCACTTTATCCTAAAAACAGGGCACGAATGTCACAACCATTACCACGCTCTGGTCGACTTCGCCAAATATACCATCACTAAAGCTGGTAGCGCTGGAAACCAAGTAGAGCTCGCATCGGCAAAGCAATCACATTGTGCTGTAGACAGCATCTGTGAAGATAGCGATGATTACAACTACAAGTAAGGTTTTGCTAGCATTCTTGTCGGCAACTTTCTGGTCTTCTCACACCTGAGCATTTTCAAGGCTCGCCATTGAAGCGGGAACATACAAATTTAGCATACTAAGTCTTTACCTTGTGATGACTACCGATACAGATGTGCAAATCAAGGTATCACCAAAAACTGTGCAGATCAGTACGGTGAATGGACTGATTGCCAATGGATTGATATTACGCCCCTCAAATCGGGCTGGTACGTTCTGAACGCTTATGTAAACATGAACCGACGCGTGAGGGAGTCGGATTACTCGAACAACGGCGCCCATGTCCTTTTCCGGTATGTGTTGCTTGCTATGTATGACTATATATTTACACAGCCATATTGTTTGAAACTAGCATTTGTATTCTATCTGTGCTTGTTTGAACTTTTCGTCAACTAGAAGTTAGGTCAATGCCACAAGATTATCGCACGCAAAGCGACTGTGGATAAAACCAATATCCTGTAAAAGTATGTATATTAGGTTGATCTACTTCTTCTAAGAGGCATGTATGTACGTCTGGTAAACGAGAAATCCACGAAGTGTGGTTGTGGCATATCACTCTCACGTGGTCCCTCCATTTTCTTTCATCTGTTGGCGCGGAATCACACGTATTCACATGGACAAGGTATTTACAGTAAGTATTCAGAATAAACCGCGAAGGACTACCATGAATACTGATTTCTTATTGTTCATTCCACACAGCTTTAACGCGGACGGTGGAATTGACGACAGAGGAGAGATTGACCGAGCATGCGTGCTGGAGGATTGGGAATGGACTGAGTGTCCCGGTGGTGAAGATGCCAGTTACGACAGAAGTAACCGGTGCGACAGTAGTTCGAGCTGCTTGCAGACAGGTCACCTGGGATCTAAATCGCGATGGGCCGACTAATACGTGTATGCGATCGACTGATATACCCTTCTACTGTAGTGATTGGAGGTTGAATGTTTGATGGTACTGGTGCTGGTACTGGTAGATGTACACCACACAGAATGTAATAAAAGACTCAAAACTATATGAGGATATCTATTGTTTAAATAACATGCTTTATATAATATCTGAATAAGACTCTTGACATTTGCTTATCTGAATAAGCTCTGCAAGGCACTTGATTGGCATCGCAAGGCATGTTTTGAATATATTATAATAATAGAATGCAATCAAATACTTGTAGGATGCTGCTATATATCCTTGCAGAGCAAGTATATTGTACAAAGAGAATTCAATAAAATACGATATATCCTTGCAGAGAGAGTATATTGTATCATGTGAATTCAATAAAATACGATATATCCTTCCAGAGCTAGTATATTCGAATAAGCGAATTCAATAATATACAGGATGTCCTTGACGAGCTAGTATATTGTATGAAGAGAACCCAATAAAATACGATATATTCTTCCAGAGAGAGTATATTGTATGAGGCGAATCCAAAAAAAAATACGATCTATTCTTCCAGAGAGAGTATATTGTATGAGGAGAATTCGATAAAACACGATCTATCTTACAGAGTAAGTGTATTGAATGAAGAGAATCCAATAGAATACAAAATAACTTTGTAAAGCAAGTATATAGAATGAAGAGATATTCAATACATGCCTTCATTTCACAACGGTGTTTATAGTTCAACTGTGGTCATGAAATCTAATAAGCATCTTGATGAGAAGCACTTTCGAGGATATATTCAATCCACAGAACGCAATATCAATACCAATGATTCCACGTTGGTTGGGTACTCGTACACCTACATTCACACGATGATTATAGAGTCTACGAACGATATGCTGCGGCATTTGCGCTTTAATGGGTGCGTATCAACGTGGCTCTGAACGATTCACCACGGCAACGAGACTATGTGTATTTAAATGTAGGTGGCTACGAAATATCTCTTATGTATTGTGGAATTAACCCTTTTGTCTGTGTGCCACCAGTGTGGTGATCACTCTGATCAAAATCACAAAATCACAAATGGATGTGGGTGTAAACTGAAATTTGAGAGATAAAAATTGCCAAACCCCCCC